AACGTCCCGCCCCCCCCCACCCCCTTCCCCCGCCCGGTCATTCCCCGATGTGGAATTTTCCTCACCTTAAAATTTGAAAAAAAGGGGGGAAACGACGAGGAGGGGGAAAAATTAAACAGAAATGTACATGTGGAGTAAGCTGCTTCTGCTTATTTTGGTCTGAACTTCATTTTTCATCACGCAGTTGGCGCATGTGAGGAAACTGTTGTCACTTTGCGCGGTGGGGAACAGGGGGGGGGGCCTGTGGCCTGAGCCTGCCTTTAACGTTCCCACCTCAGCTCAAGTTTTTGTACCATCTTTAGTCAGTTTCCTCGATGGTCTATTCCGTCTTACCGATTTCCAAGGAGAATGAAGCGGACCTGGAGTAGGCGTCGACGGTTAATTCTGCACAAACACAAAGCAACTGTCGGTTGGTCACGGAGACACGGACCCTCAGTGTTACAGTTGGTCTTGGCCCAAATTCCAGGAGGGAGTTAGGGCTGACGTTATGGTTAGTATTGGTGTTAGAGTTATGCAGAATAGTATTACCGGCAAAGACAAGGTACACTGGAATGACCATTTCTGGCTTATTAACCGTCGTCAGCCTGTCATACCCAATCCCCACCTGTGAAACTCCTGGGACTTGATCCCACAACCTTTTGGTTATAAATCGAAACTCCCTAACCACTGAGCCACAGGCTCGCTGTCCTGTCGGTTGCGACCGGGAATACATGATGGTAGAGGGGAGCTCAGTGATCGTGTTACGGCATTCACTCGTCCCGTCGTGCCTTGGGGCTCTCTCTCTCTCGAGCCCTGCCAGCAGCCGAACATCGGCGCGTGGTATAGGCAGAGTAACATTACCCACAAGGACAATGAGCAGTTCTGGCCTATTGACGACCCTCTACCATTGTAAGTACCTGATCGCAACCGACAGGACAACAAGCCCCTGGCTCAGTGGTTAGGAACGTTGGACTTCTGACCAGCGGATCGCGAGATCAAGCCCCAGGGGCTGCACACCTCGAGATTGGGTATGACAGGCTGACGACGGTTAATAAGCCAGAAATGGTCATTCCAGGCTTCCTTGTCTTTGTGGGTAGTAACATACTGCCCATAGTACGCACCGCTGTGCAGCTGTTGGTGAGGCTTGAGAGAGGGCCCCAAGGCACAACGGGGCGAGTGAGTCTCGTAAAGCGGTTAAGTGGGTTAAGACTATGAGAACTACTTTTAGGGTCGTGAGCTAGGATGGTTAGGGTTAGATTGACGTCACGGGAATTGTAATCCCTCTGGAATTTAGTGCGAGGTCACCTGTAGTATACGGTGGCGGGGATGGCCCATATTCCCTTGTCAGAAGTAATTTTGGACTGTTAAATGTTCCATTAACCTGGGCCACTTTAAATCGAGAAAAATCCAAAGCTTGAGCAGTGTGAATTATCGTCAATTTTCTTCGGATGCCTGTATACTGGTATGATTGCATCTCCTTGAAAGAATGCGCTCAAAGTTGGCGCATTCCAGTAATTTAGCATGGAACCTTACTTTCATCATATCCAGTACTTGAAAAAAAGATAAAAACCTTCGGCTTTATGGATTTTTACAAAGACCGCTAGCTCTTTGTGTTGTCTGATGTCCACACGGGATTCAGTCTACCCCATCTCTACTCTGATGTGCTATGAGTGTCGGGCAGTTGTTCCATAGAACCAAGAAGGCAAGCATATGTGTCTTTTGAAAGAAAACGGGCGTCACGTAGATTGCAAACTTCGGAATACACCGATGGTCTGTGGCATCCGTGCAACAACTTCGGTCACCTTTTTCAGATGCATTTAGACTGCTACCTCCGCGTATCTCCGTGTACTGAAAGGGCATACACTTAGCAGGTACGGCAGTGGTCTTCGGCAATAAGCCTCGACCGAGTCAAAAGAGGAAGTTAGCATCCTTTGGTCGCCTGGAGGTGAGTGGAACCAGCTTTCGTCTCTTTTACAAAGTTCCACTTTGAGTTCACTAATCACCCCACTGAATGAAATCAGCAGTTATGCTTTTGATTTCGAAAGCGCGGTCAGGATGAGACGTGCTGGGAACAAGTATGATTGGACAGTCACGTTGCTTCACGATCTTTCGCTATGCAGCCGGCTTTCCCACCCCCCGTCCCCCTGCCTCCTTCAAGGTCATCGATAGTTTGCGCAGGTCTGTCCCTCAATTAAACTTCATAAACTTTTGTCCACCCCCACGATATCACACATGCAGCTCGCAGGACATTAGATAATTCCGGAGTGCCCGATCGCATGAAATGTTGACCGAAATTCTGAAATAT